CCCCCCCCCAAAGATACACAAACACCCCTGCAACTAATACCAAAAGTCATAGCAGAAACAACTCTACTTCTCATTGTAACGATAATTGACGTGGGGAGGAGGTGTATTGGAGGGCAGATGTTGGGGGAAGGAGGACTCGTTTTGTAAGGAAAATTCATTTGTGTTTAAAACTGAGGTGTTGTTTCAGCTTGTGACTCTTACCGTCATCACCAAAGCTTTTTTTCAGTTTGTAGGTGAGATATTGATAGTTAGGAAATTTAAATCATGATCAGCAGCTCTTTGTGAGGGAAAGAATAGCAATGGAAATTAAAATTAAACAAGGCTTAAATAAACTTAAAGAAGCCAGAACTTAATACCTGAAATGAGACTAAAAAAAATATAATCTAGAATAAGTCGTTAATGACTGTATTTGCATGTTTTTTCAGTGATGAAGTCCCAGACAGGCAGTTGGTTCACAGCTGGGACATCACCAGAAATTGGTAGACTGGTTTGGACAAGTCCAAACCTATACTGTAACTTTTCCTTTAAACAGACCTGGAAAGGGATGTTTGTTCTCTCTCAGACACAGATAATTGCTTCCTCAAAAGGAGCATTGAGATGAGCGAGAGACATCATCCATATTTTTTTTCTTTGTTTTTTCTTTTGTTTTTCTGTCTGTGTTTTCAGCAACGTCAATTGATTACAGTTCCTTTGCAGACAGATGCAACAGCTGGATAGAGCTCATTAAACTGAAAGCTCAGACCATAAGGCGCGGATCAATTAAGACAAGTAGGCGGCTGTTTCTACCACGTTATGATAATCTGAGACATATCTCTGATTTCCCAGTGGTGAATAGTGGAGTTTTCTGCCCAGCAATAGTATTGTAGATCACATGTAGAATGAATACCTGAGTGCGAACACTGCCGACATTGTTACTGTCTTTGTAAGCTAATACAGGGTTTATGAACCAGTATCATAAAAAACAAAATACAGTATTTCTGTTCACTTAGTAAAAATTAGTTGTCAATAAATGTGTACGCCTACTAATTATATAACATACACTGCATGGATGTAGGTGTATGTATGATCTTGGAAAATATTTGGTGAGAAACAGGAAGCAATCACCAAGGTGACAGTCAAGGCAATGGTCACTAAATTAGCAAGTGGTGAGTTATTTTTCAGTAGTTCTTTGGCCACAGGTCTGACTATCTTGCTTAAATTAGCAGAGATTAATATCTGTTTTAATGGAAAATGCTGCACTGGGGAAACACAACAACTTTCACACTTCCTATAATTTGTTCCTCCAGCAGAATACGTATTTCAAAATGTTAGCACTTTTTTCTTTACCTTCACTTTATAACTGATTGTTGTGTGTGCAGCTACTTGCCTCAATGTTTTTGGAATGCCACTCTTCCAAATAAATTCCATTTCATCTTTTTGTCTCCTTTTGCATGCGTTGCATGATCATTTCCTTTCTCACATGATATGGCTGAGCATCACAGGCAGCTGAATGTTGTCACCAAGCTATTTGGAAACCATAAAGAAGAGTTTTTGTGTTTTGAGAAATGGTTATCGATCTTACTTGATAGTTATTTTCTCTTCTTTTTTCCCCATCTTTTTAGCTGCTTCACTTGATAAAGCAAGTCCACTGGCTGAGGGATACTTACGGCACCGTTCTGTTCCATCATGCACCAATTCTACCGTCTCAGTTGTTAAGATGACACCTCTTTCTTTCCTACCTGGGGCAAAAATAACCAAATATCTCGGGATAATCAACATGTTTTTTATACGAGAAACCACTTCTTTGCGTGAGGTGAGCTGTGTATCAGGGATTGGCACTTCTTTTTAATTCTAATAATCAAAGCTGAATATCTGAAGAGATTTGAGTTGAGGTGTGGCACAGGAAGGAAATAGAGTTCTTGTCACTTGAGGGTAGGTGCTGAATGGGGAGTAAATCCCATTGCACTGCTCTTGTCGTGGAGCGTATGTAGCTGCTTTGTGTTCGACGATGTTAGGAAGGGGTTACTTAACCATTGCCATTGCTGGTGAATTTGGATATAGTACTAAACCAATGAGTTCTTAAACAGAACTGTATGGAAAAAAAACGGGTCTTTGACCAACAGTGGTAGTTGGGACCATTTGAACCCAAAACGAAGAATAATTTAAATGCTAAATCAAAATTAATAATCCATTCTTCTCTGATTTAGCAAGTTCAGTGATGAACTTTCACAGTGTATTTGGATTTTAGAATTCTTTGGTTAATACAGGATTTCCCATATCACATATAACTATTATACTGATTTTTAATATTGCATTCTGTGGATTCTCAGTAACATAGCTCTGCTTGATGAATGTTTAAAAAGCATGCCATAGAGTATATAACCACACAACCAGCTTAGAGGGTGTAGCTAGGGATACTCAAACAATGATGTCCAGTCTGGACCTGGACAACAGATAGCCTTCTGAGCATGCCAGAATGCAAGGCATGTTCCTTATCATTTGCATGTCCTTTTGGGAAGTAGCTGCATGTTTCTGCTACACTTTCCAGCCACAGAAATAGAATGTACCTCTTGCCTGGTTTGTCAGTGCTGAAGAGTATGCTGTTTCTTGCTAATTACACATTGATAAAAATTACAGAGCAGATGTTGATAAAAATGATCAGCCTTCATAAAAATTAGTTGTGAGCTCTGTAGAGAAACTTTGATCAGACAAACATCTTGTCTGGATCTTGCAAGTTATGGCCCCTTTTAACTTGAGGAATCTATGTGAAAAGGACAGCATTTTCAAATGAATGTATGTGGTATGACCAGAGAAATGGTTACATGACATTTCTGTACTAACTACTTCTGTAAATACAAATTAAATATCTGATGAGCAAGCTTTGGTAACTGTGATACAGACCTCAGCAGAGGTATGTTGATCAAGTATTTGATTCACCTTCTCCATGAAGAGTTGGGACGGTTATGCAGTTTCTGTGATACTATCAATGTGCTATTTCCAGCACCCAGGGCAGCTAATTTAAATCTATTTCAGCTGTATAGACTGAGTCACAAACCAGTTTTAATACTAGTTGCACAGTATTGCCCTCAGGCTGTAACGGAGTCAAAACAGAGTGGTCACTATATCCAATTCAAGCAACGTGTTTCAGATTCTACAGAAAAATAATTAGCAGCCTTTGTGTTCATATTGCTTTATATTTTGCTTGTGGTAGTTTACAAAATATTAAGGCCCTATGAACACTTTCATAAGCTGGAGTATATACCAGACACTCTGCTTCAAAAATTAATGATAATTTTAAGTCCAGTTTATCCATTGCTCTTAGATTTTCCCATTTACAGGTGGATATTTATAATATTTTGTTACCTGTTGTCATCAAATTTTGTATTATGTTTATAATATTACAGATTTTTTTTTTTCCCCATCAGTTGCTGTAACTATTAAAACATTTGGACAGAAGAAAAGTTTCATGAGGAATGACAATAAATTTGATTTCTGGCTGCAGCTGACTTCATTCATGCTTTATACTTGGATTGTTGAAATTAGACTTGCCCTTTTGTTAATTTTCATCCAAGATATGTTTTCTTATGTCTTTACGAGTGTGTTCAGGGTGGATTATAAGTCTTCCAATAGCTGTGAGGCAGCCCGTATGTGTTGAAGTTCAGCTTAGCTAGCCTCTTCTACCTGTCTCTTTCATTTTCTCCAATGGGACACACGTATGTGGGAAGTCTAGTGGTCTTGCCTTTTACTTTCATTTTGACATCTTATAGATATTTTGAACCAATAGCGAGCTCTGTTTCATCAGTTTCTTTCCTCAATTTTTTTCTGTGGATTTTTGGTTTTTTTTGGTTGGTTGCCTGGTTTTTGTGTGTTGAGTTTTCCCCCACAGCGTAGTTGCTCACATTCTTTTATAAGGATTATCTAGGAAAAAACCCATACTTCATTGTTTTCCTTCTCCTCCTTTCACAGCAATTTAAATTACTCAGCTTGTCACCAAAGAAAAAATCTCCCACAAGCACCATCAAATCAGAAAACTTAGTGAAACGGAATGGCTAGATGTTGTTTTGGGCTTCAAGGGAAAAAAAAAATCTTTAATAGCTGGCTTGTCAAGTCTCTGTTCGGTCCCTTGCTTACTTTGTATTTTGAGGGATCATTTCTTTAGTGAATATTGAGAACTAATGACAGTCATTAGCATACATGAAGTTGCAGTGACCAAAGGTAATGGCCACTCCTTTACCAGTAATTTCCAAGAAGTCTAAATCTCTTTTAATCCTCAGTAGAAATTATTCTTTATCTGCTTCCCAGTTATCAAAAAAATGGGCAGTATCCTTCCTGATGAAAGAAAAAAGTCATTATTCAACTGTCACTGGAATATTAAATGTTCCTGCAGAGTTGTGGGAATGTCTGAAAAGTATAAGTCTGTGTAATATACTGACTACAAAGAATACCAGTCGCAAATGAATAATCTACTTGTGATTCTTTTCCTCAAACGGTAAATTCCATTGGTCGGACTTTTAATTGTGACTCATTAAACAGTGAATAGGTTTTAAGTTCTGTACAATATAGGATTCACTGAAATATTCAGCTGATAAAAATGTAAGAAAAGTATTCAGCATCTTGTAGCTATATCTAACATAAAATGTAATTACTTCTTTTTTTTTTTCCATTTTAGGAAGGTGGTGTCAGTGGTTTTCTCCATGCTTTTATTGCTGAAGTGTTTGCAATGGTGAGAGCTCATGTTGCAGCTTTAGGGGGGAATGCAGTTGTCTCATACATAATGAAGCAGTGTGTTTTCATGGAAAATCCAAACAAAAATCAGGTAAATTATGGTAGGAAATAACAGTGTTATTGTGATTAGTATGACACAAATACACGTTTTGTATATTTAAAAAACAGCAACCCTGTAGAGCCATGTCTGCATAACGCTTCTGGATCTCTCATCATGATGTTTGTTTAAAGAAGCCAAGAGTGTTCTTGAACACCTGAGTTAACACAAAATTACGAATATGCTTCATAAATACCCAAATGTCTAAAAATGCTAAGTTTACTAGAATGAAGTAAATTGCAGGAAACAATTGAACAGTAGTGCTGAATTTACTTTGCTTTTCCGATGTTGCAGTGTTAGGATTTTCATCCTAACTCCACGTAAAAATACCTGGAGTTGTTGATAAACAAATGCTCAATTTTGGACATAAAGGGTCAAAACTTTATTAGTAAATATGAGAACAGAATATTATTGTTTTGGTACATGAAATATGTTCAAAACAGTAGTGAAAGCAAGTACAGCTACCCAGATACTTCATTTGTGGTGGTCTTATGAGAATCTGTCTACATGTTTGATGGCAGACAAGTGAGTGGAAATAAGAGAAAGTATGGCAGCGGTTGCCTCAGTAATAGATTCTAATAATTTGTCCTTTTTCTGATCTCGGTTGACTTTCCTGTTATCTTATATCTAGCAGATAGAAGTCTACATAAAATGTGTTGTTAATATTTGGTAACAGTGTATTGTCTTTTTTTTTTTCAGGCTCAGTGTTTAATAAATGTCAGTGGCGATGCAGTCATCTTTGTACGTGAATCTGAGTTAGAAATGGTACCCGTACAACCTTCTACAGTTGTTTCTCAACCCACAAGTTCTGCAGGAGATGTCACAACATGAAGACAGAAAAAGTGAAATAGTCTCTGCAAAATATAAAGATTATTTAAAATGTGGGAATGTTTAGGTTTGCATCTTCAAAATCAGTATCTCCCCATAACATTAATAGCCAAAATCCAAGACAATCACTTACTTTGTCCTTTATGTAATAGTCAGGGCAGCATATTGGCAAGTATGCTCTGAATCTTTTGTTATAATTACAGGCCCCTGTGAAACCTAAACAGTAGGTGAAGCACAGATACAAGAATATGGATTAAAATAGTAGACATTGCGTGGAACTATGAAAGTAAACAAAAATTCTGTTGCATTTTTGAGCTGTTCAGGACCATGATAAGCTGTAATTCAGAACCATTTCTGAGTTTGCATATTGTATTAGCTGATTCTCAGCTCAGTTTAAAAAAATAAAAAGAAGGATCGGGGTAGGTGGAACATCACTGAGAAGCCTGTATTAACAGCCTTTGCTGAATGAGCAAGAGATTTGTGCGCAGGCTAAGAAAATGTGGGCGGAAGTCTGAACTTCTCTTAGATCATAGAGTGTGAAAAGGAAGAAGAGGCACCAAAAAGTCACAGTTTGAATTTCTGCACACTAAAAACATTTTTCAACTATTTGTGAACAGCTGATTTATTTTTTTAAAACTATTACTATACAGCATCTGTTTTGGGTGGGTGTTTCAGGGTGTTTTGTTGTTTGGTTTTGTTTTTAGAAAGGTGCCAGACCATGATGCTGTGTTCCTAGTCACCTCTATCGTTAAAAAAATAAACAAACAAAACCAAACCAACCAACAAAAAGTTCCGAAGTGTTTGGTGCTATTATTAAGATGTTCACTTCAATATTGACCAAACAGATCTTTGTTTAATGTAAGATTCTGTGAAAGAATTGCCCTGGGGCTCATTTTCTTAAGGCCTGATCTCTTGCAAGGATGACATAAACAGTTCTCCAAAAGTCAGTTATACAGAGGTATACTCCAGCCTCCTTTCCGTTTAACAAGTTGGAAAGGCTTGGCTAATTGGAGATTGATGTGTGTGGTGCTGATTTCTGCAAGTTGGTTTTGGGTTTGGGTGTTGGTTTTTTTGCCCCCCAGTACTGTAGCTGGGAAATCAGGGTGCTGCAAAGAAGGGAAATTTGTCATTACCAGTAAATGTCTGAAAGGTGGTGATATTTTAATGTAAAAGATGCAAACTTTGATTTGAAGATGCATTCTTACTCAACTCTGACAATACTGTACATGGAACTTGAACAAACATGTAAACTTGAATGTAAATATTCTGCTTAGTGTTGAAATTAAGCAATGGCATGATTATTTGTTAAAACTAATTATTTCATTGTAAATGAGCATGAAAATCATTCTTGCACAATAAATTTCTTTATAAAATTTGTTGCCTTTTTCTATGTGTAATAGTTAAATGTGTATGCTGGATACATATTAAAGATGTCCCACCCCCATTCTCCTCAGAGGAACTTTTTTTTTTTTCTTAAATAACCAGGTTGTAACATTCGACTAAAATTTGGAGACTTAATCATCTTTAAAGTGTTTGAATTGGGTGCTTACCAGAACACTTTACTCATACAGTTAATTGTCTTTCTAAATTCTGTAGCCTCTTGCAACCAAAGCTGCCATAAATTAAGTCGCCTCTAAATAGTTGCAGCTCTCTTGGTTATTTTGCAAGGCGAATCTTGTTCCCTTTGAAGCTCATGGCAGAATATTAATAACTTCAGAAGGTCTTAGATCTGGCACAAGAAGTTGTTTTCAGCATAACTATTCAGCATGGAAATACTCTCTGAAGTAGCAAATTAAAGTAGCTGTTCTTGATTTTTTTTGTTGTTGTTGTTTGGTTGATTTGGGGCTTTTTGGTAGGTTCTATGGAAGTATTAATGCCATCATTTCTAGCTGTTTAAAAGGTCACAATTTCTTCTAGTGTGTTTCATTAGACATAGAGGAGGACCTGTCTCATCTAGAAATTTTAATTCTTCTCTTTATTATTCCAGAAATTACAAACGTGTTTTTTTAACTGTTACTAATTGGGATTTAGCTTTTCTTAATCTGGCTGGATCAATTTAACCTGTAGAAAGTTGTACACTTAAATTGCTTTGATTGCTTTTTTCTTCTTTTTGATGTCAAAAAAGGGATGTGTGCAAATCCATTGTCATTTGGAACATCAGACCTCATACATTTCTTAAAGGCCAAAAAAGGATCATATAAACATAACACAAACTTCAGGGTTTTATTAGAGTATATAAGGAAAGGAAAACTGAAACACGAGTTAAAAATGTAAGTCCTAGTGCATAGAACGCTTTCAAGGAGCTGTGTGCCTACAACTTCAGCTGATTTATGTTCTTTGAGTTTAGAATGGCTGAAAATCATACAAAGGTACTTTGTTAGTTAATGACTTTTACCTCTTATGACATAATAACATAGAGTTTTGATTGTGGGAGAATAATTGAAGTTTCTGCTGAAATGGGAGCAATTAATGCAAGATACCCTGCTCTTTACTCGAATGGAACTTCCAAATGCAGGTAGACAAACGTTCCTATTTGAGATACTTGTGGCTTAGACAAACATTGCTTTGTCAGGAATTTACTCTGGGAATACATGTTTGGGGGTGGGAGCTAATGAACTTCCTTGTACTGGTTTTGGCTGGGGTAGAGTTGATTTTTCTTCATAGCAGCTGGTACGGTGCTGTGTTCTGGATCTGTGACCAAAACAAGGTAGTTAACGGGGATGTTTTAGCTATTGCTCCAGGCTTTCTGTCTATGAGGCAGCCCCCTCCCCAGTGAGGACACAGGGGGTTGACAAGAGGCCGGGAGGGAAGGCAGCCGGGAGAGCTGACCGAGGCTGATGATTGGGATATCGTGTCCCACACCATACAAGGCCGTGCTCCGCAGTAAACCTACGTGGTGGTCCGCCAGGGGTTGTGGTTGGTTGGGGGCTGGCATTGGTCGGCTGATGGCAAGCAGTTGCATTTAACATCACTTGTTTTTCTTTGTTTTTCATTGTTTTGTCTTTTTTCTTTTATTAAACTGTCTATCTCAACCCATGAGTTTTCTCACTTTAACCCGTTGATTCTCTTCCCCATCCGGCTGGGAGGGAAGGAGCAAGTGAGCAGCTGTGCGGTGTCCAGCTGCCTACCAGGGTAACCCACAGCATTGCTGCTTTCTCTTGAGGAATTCAAATGACACAGGGTAGAGTGAAAGCAGGCCTGTTCCTATCTCCAACCCTGAGAAGAACCACTAAGGTTGGATTTAAAACCTTCACATTAATATTGTGAACAAGTTGGGTAGTATCACCCTTTGTTAGAACAGAGCGGTATCATCTGCTGTAAAAGACCACTTCTCCAAGCACTGCTTGACTTGCAGCAGTGAAGCCAGGTCTTATGTCAGGCCTTCAGGTGACTGGACAGTGTTCAGGGCCTGAACAACTGTTCCCTCCTCTGGAGAATAGCTGCAGACTAAGGAAGAGCATCTGCAGGTGATGCTGCTGCTTGCTGATTCTTTCCACAGCTTTCTCTAACCATCGCTATTTTAAGAGGCGTAGTGCTTGCTAAGTCAGCCAGCTCAAGTTCGAAGGTGGGCAGGAATTAACTTGGAGGGAAGATGTTGGATTCATGTTGGAGTCCCAACCAGCTCAGTGCTTTAGGAATTGATCTTCTGGAATAACATCCCACTTTTTTTCTTTTTTCTTTCTTTTTTCACTAGGAGCTTTTTTTCAGAGCTGGTTGAAAAGTCCCCAGCTTGCACCTTTTTTCCTTCTTAACCACCTAGTTTGTGAACTCTGATAGACACATGTGAAAGGTGCTAAGTGAGAGCAAGTGTCCTCTAGTGAATGGTGTGAAGTTAATTGCGGCTCCCCTCTCTACCAAGTGGAATCAAATGTTTTTTCTGTGTTTAGTTGAAATTACAATTTCCTTGGAAATGAAACCTGAGGATCTGGTTCACTTTTGTCATACTGAAAGACAGCCCTGCACCTATCTCACTAGCAACTTACTGGGAGGTGGGTACATGAAAATAGAAGCAAGACAGATGTGGGGAATTACAGAGAGTTGCAAAAAGTGAAATGTCCAGGACTGGTTTTTGGAGAGCTCTCAGTTCTCTTTCGGTGTTTGGATAAGGACAGACGGAAGATTTGATGACTGATCTGGGTGAGTAACAGAGTTTTCTTGGCAAAGCACTTTATGAACAACTGTGCTGCCGCAGCATCTGCGGATCTTCTGTTGAGCCTTGGGCTGCGTGGCAAGAAAAGTTTTCTTGCTGTGCGGTATTTCTAGTTTTGGTAGATAGGAGAAAGCTCAGTTTTGACTACTCTACGAAGCAGAAATGAAGCAAAAAAGGATGAAGTGACTTCCCCTGCCTGCAGAAGAGTGCCAGGCCCTGGGAGCACTAGCAGGTCTTACAGTCGTTGCCTGGCTGCAGCCCACCCTGCCCATGGCCCAGGGCTCCGTTTCAGCCCCTGGGGCCACCAGCCCCCAAGAAGCTGCAAACCAAGTCTCCGGCTCCCTGCAGCCCTGCCCCGTCTGGCCATGGGCACCACTGAGCGGGGGCTACCCCCGTGGCCCCCGGCTGCCCTGCTCCCTGCCCCGCCATCCCTCCCGGCAGCCTGGGCAGCAGCATGACTGGAGGGTAAGAACCAGGGTTCAAGATGTAGGCTAGCACAGTAGCTTAAATATAGAGACATCATTCATTTTTAAACTCGCATAACTTACATTAGTCGTGACGAGTCTGACACGCTGAAGGTTTGCAGGGGCAGGAAAGGATTCTGTCTTTCTGGGGCTTTTTCTTCCACATGCAGGCTAGCTTTCTTCCCAGGTTTTCAAGGAGTCAGCTGTATAAACCCTGCCTGGTATGACAGCAAGCCAGGCTGCTGCTCCTCATCGGTACAAATGACCCCATCAGGTAACGCTTTCCATTGGTATACCTTGAGCGTTTCACAAAATCAGTCGGTATCATTTCTCCACTTTACAGTTGAAGTAACTGAGATTGGAGAGGTGTGAAACAACATGCCAAGGTC